AAAAAAGGTATTATAAACAGTAGTTTCTGTGTCTTATAGGGAATATATTCTTTATATTCTTTAGTTGTAAATTACATAATATATTCTTATATACCTTTTACAGAAGGTTCTCACTAGAGATCAAGTACAGTATATGGTATCAGCATACTGAATTGACTGTGTAATTATACCCAAGTTTATTCTGTCAGATTGAACTGATTTATTGTAATTTACAATATTTCAAATTAATTAGAGTAATACAATAGAGTCTGAGGTATTCTACTATATTTAATCACAGTATATTAAGAATCTTGTCTCTAGTATTCAAACTATGGATCAACTCAATCACTAACAATTTGAATAATATAACACTATAGTTATTTAATGGTGTAAAGCTATATGCTCTTCCAATTCAGTATGGGGACAATTCCTAGTCTGCAGTCTTTCACACTTGACAATTACTTTTCCTTTGTCAGACCATTTGACTTTTGTTGTAGTACTCTTCATCATAGGTGAATCTTCTGGTTGTGGTAGAATGATAGGAGCTGTACTATCATTACTATCAAATGATACATAGACTTCTGGTCTACTATTAAAGTTGTATAACTTTAGGAAGGTAATGTCTATTCTCTATATGTATAACCAAGCCAGCAATACACATATCAGCTAAAATATCTTATAAGACAAGTTAGCATGCTTTTAACTTTACGTACTTTTGGGTCTGCTGTTATTGTAGAGAGTCCTGCTTCAATTTTTTTACGTGAGTCAGAAAAAGGTGATCTAGATACACAGAATTTGTGAGTCACATTGACGTTCTGAAGAAGAGTGTCCCGGTTAGGGTTCAGTCTTATTTTCCACGACCCTTCGACCTGCTTTTCGCCATCGTCATACGTGATTGTTACTTTGTACTCAGTGTGTGTCGGTTTTGGTTTTTTCGAATTGTCACCAGACATTTGGATAGTGTGTACTAAGGTACGTTGAACTGGGACTGATTGGAAGGGTGCATGCACAGAAAGGAATTATATTTGGACATTCTTGTTTGCAGGAGCAATGTCACCTTTTACGTACCCATCAGATCTCATAGACTTTTGCATACTGACGGACTGGATTTAGCAAGTGGACTCACATGACTGATCAAGGCCTTCAGCAATCTTTGATGCATACAAAGTAGATCAAATGTGCTGTGTCTTGTGTAGTACATGTTTTTGAAGATGGAGCTCAAGAGTTAGTTTGTACTAATCATCAAATGTCTTTCTATGGCTATAATCCATCAGTAGTGTATGTATGAATATATTATGCAATTAATATAAATCAACATCACTACAATCTATGATTAAATCTTAGTAGGGTACAATTCGCTTTTTGCCTATTTATGTTTGTTTGAGACATGTCTATCTTCTGAAGTCATGCAGGAACTTGATACATTCTGATTCCTCTCTGAGACAGGATTGTTTACTTGGATAAAAGCATGTATGTAGTCACACCAATATCATAGCAATCTTCATCTTTAATCCTCCTGCAAGCAACTGTGACAGTTGCATTATTTACGTTTTTCACCTTTGAACTGCTAGTTGTTGGGTATGAGGCATCCGGCTGTGGGAGACCAACAGGAAGTTTTCCATCATTGTTGTCAAATTGAACAGCGACATCTTTTCCTTCGTTGAAACCACATAGCTGTAGAGCAGTAAGGTCCACTCTCTATTTGTGATATCGGGTTGATGCATCACACGTCAGTTATAACTATGCAGTAACATGAGTTTATCAATACATACACTCGCATTACCTGTTTTAGTACTGAATGCAGCAAGCATTTTTGGATTGCTTGCCATTGGTTTAGACTTGCAGAATGTGTTTCGTGGTTTGGTACTCCGAAGCTCTGTAGTCCATGAGTTGCTGAGCTGTCGACCGTCTCCGTTGTCATATGTGACCGTCAATTCATACGTAGTATGAATCGCTCTCGGCATTTTGCCAGACGAGACAGAGAGTATGTGTAAATTGATCCGAGTCGAACACCTCTCTTGACATGTGTTCTTATATTAATGTGCATCCTATGTTGTTTGCATCTGAACAAGTACCCTTACGAGCAGCTTCGTTTGCTGATGGGGATTTGTTATTTACGTATTCTAGTTCAATCAATTTTGCTCTGACGAAAGGCCATGCCTGGAGCCTTGGACATGCGAGTTGCATTGCCATTACCCCTTGGTAGTGCCTCCAAAGAAGCGGGGATGGCAATAGTCCATTTGTTTGTTCCAGTCCTTCCAGCAGCTTGAACGTATCGTCGGTTAAGTATGGCTTTTTTATGCATCCTGGGATATGCACAGGCTACATGATGAGTAATCAACCCATATTTGAGTCTGTGTACAATCTTCCATAACGGGAATGAGATGCGTAACAGCCAACTTCGCCTCTTGACCGTGACCTTAGACCTGACCTACTCATAGTGCCTCGAAGGATTGCTCTAATGGATCGGACCAAGGCGAAACTGGCGACTTTCTTCAACAATGACGAAGAGGAAGAACAGACGTTTCCTGTATGATGGATTGCAAGCATGTTCCATCTCCCTGTAGCTCAAACTCACACACCTTTGGCTCTCCTTAAGCAGAAAGTAGTAGACGACCAGAAACTATCACAATACACTCAGGGGACCGTCCGAAAATCCAAGCGGGAGAAAGAGAAAGAAAGGGAGGAGGCAAAGAGGCGTGAAGAAGAGGAGCTAGCCGCGAAAACGTATGCTGAATTCCTGGACGATTTCGAGGGAAACACTGCCCGTAAGAAGGGAAGCGGGTTTGTCAGAGCTTCTGCGGCTGGGGCGAGCGACAACCTCGAATACAACCCCCGTGGAAGAGGCCAGAGAGACCTAGGAACACGGGCATTTTATGACGATGACTCTCCGGTATGATTCCCTTCAACGCAATTTACCAAAGTCTATGTGCTCACTTCAACGCTAGCGCCAGCCTTCCCCTCCTGTTGCACCTGCTCCCAAACCGAAAGGCAAACGGGCCATGGATGATTTTTTGGAAGTTATCAAAAAGTACGAGTTATATAAGCTATGCTGGTCTGGAGCTGAATTCCTCTTTGCAGAGAACAGGCAGAGCGAGAACGGAGACTGGCAAGAAGTAGCCAAGGTTCGTCGTGCGCCTAACACTGAAAACGGGCACTTATCGTAAATCTAGCACAAGGGCGGTCTGTGACAGCGCTTGCAGGTAGGCGATTCGATTATGCCTTTGAGCATTTCTGCTGACGGACTTAGCCTATGAGGGCCAGAGTGGAAGTAAAGACCGTGGCGACCCCTTGGTACGACATGCCCAACTTGATACAACAGAAGGACACGAATTTGATTTCTTGATCTAGACTTCTAATATTTTTGTTGCAAATCTGCCACAGAACGTTAACGAAACCTCTTTGGGCAATTTCTTTGCTTCCCGTTGTGGACCAGTTGGCTCCGTGAGTACTACAAGGGACTCTCGTCTCTTTAAAATTTTACAATGAGGGTCTTCAGGTTAAAATTATGTGGCCCCGTGGAGACGCTACGCTTGGCCCAGGTGCAGACATTACAGCGACGCGTGCAAAGCGTGCTGGTGGACTTAGCGGATTCGTATCGTTTATGAAACGCAAGGATGCCGAAACAGCAATCCGAGAAATCGACGGCTTTGACTGGGGAGGCTCCATTCTGAGAGTTGGGTGGAGCAAAGCAGTACCAATGGCAGCCAAGCCTGCCTATGCGAGTGCGTTGTCTCACTATAACGTAATATAATATTCACGAGAGTTCTTTCTCAGTTTACCCTGGGTCGCGCTCAAGGTCTCGGTCCCGGTCTAATGACAGAGCTCGAGGACGGAGTCGAAGTTACTCACCGGACCGTTATCGATCTCGATCACATTCACGCTCTCGTGGATTTAAGCGTCCACGTAGCTATTCTCGCAATTGGTCGCGTAGTAGAAGTAGAGCTCGTTATCATAAGTCGAGGTCAAGGTCACGATCCCCTTCCTACGTTCGCGCGAGGAGGGATAGTCGGAGTCGAAGTCGGGGCAGACATCGCTCGTATAGTCCGACAGGACCCGGCCGGATTGGCGTGGATCCTGATACCGAAAAGTTCATTCGGACTGTTGCTCTGAAAGTTAAAGATAATGGGGAGAAGTTCGAGGACCTTCTCCGCGAACGAGAACGTCAGAATGCGAAGTTCAGGTTCCTGTTTGACCCTTCAGTAAATGACTTCAGTTACACATGCAAATGATTTCGAGACTGATTAAGTAACAAATCATAGACACCTGAGAATCTGCTTTATCGTTCCCTAGTTAATGGTGAATCCATACTTGAAGGATTTGACGACGAAGTAAGCCCATCCTATTCCATTCACGGAAGACGATGTTAACCAAATCCACAGGGCTACAACTCAATCTACTCTACGGATTCAGCCGAAGACTCCGAGCGTGAACGAGTTCGTAAAACCAAACTCGGAAAACTTGCGCGTCGCAGGTTCGAAGCAATGCTCCGAGCACTCTCCGGCAAACGCGGAGAACTAGCACGCTGCATGGCGTTCAGCCTCGAGCACGCCGAAGCAGCATCAGAAGTCAGCGACATCATCGTATCCTCCTTACTAGTCGACGGTACACCCGTCCCAAGGAAAGTCGCGCGTCTTCACCTCATCTGTGATATCCTACACAATTCCGCTGTGACACTTCCGAGTGCTTGGAAGTTCCGGCAGGAGTTCCAGCCTCGACTTGGTATTGTCTTCGATCACTTGTCGGGAATCTATCATTCGTTCCCAGGACGGATTACGGCGGAGACGTTCAAGAAGCAGATTACTGCCGTCCTTGACGTTTGGGAGGATTGGATTGTATTCCCTCCGGAGTATATCGAGGCCTTGAGATCTCGTCTGGATGGTACGATAAATACCGAGATGAAGGACGAAGAGGAAACAAACGAGGAAACAGAAGCCCGAAACGAGACACCTGTTTTCACAGCGAAGTTCAAGACAAGTGCTTTCAAGCCTGCGGAAGTCGTACAAGAAGATGCTCCTGCGACTAAAGCTAGAAGTGCTGCGGAAGACGAAGACGGTGAAGCAGACATGGACACGGATAGTGACGCCGAGGAGCAAGTAAAGCCCGACGCAAGCGCAGAGGATGTGGATGGTGTGCCGATTGACGACGTGGATGGAGAACCTATCGACGGCGATCCCATTGACGGTGATCCTTTGGATGGTGACCCTATTGATGGCATGCCCATTGATGATGTTGACGGTGAACCTATCGCAGACGATGATGCCAAGTCATGCGAGACGGCTTCATAAACAATCTCGATGATGTAGCCGTTGACGTCCTCCAGGAGGCGAGGGACATGCTAGCAACCGTACTTATCGATACCATCGGTACGGCATTAGCTCTCCGTGGAGGCGACGCAACATACCCCATTCAAGTCATACTGGCAATTCTAATGGAGGTATGCCTCTTCATTATCTATAACAAACACCTACCAACCGTCCACCACAACAGAGATTTTTGGACGGCCATGCTGAGGATGGCGACGTCGAAATTCTGAATGCCATCGTCGTCAATATCAATCCGTAGTCATTAATAATAATAATAAAACTGTACCCGGTCGGTTTGTTCTGTTATTGCATGCAATCCGTCCGCCTTTAGAGTAGACAACTGCAACGTATAATGAAAGAGAACTTGTCTTGGATCATACTTCGTAACGAGATGCCTGACACGAGAGGGAAAATGATACGGGGCAGTACCTTACCCGTAATCCCAAGTCATGAGGATTAAATAGTATCCAAGAAGCATGAGCCACCTAGACTGATTCTGAGGCGCAAAGCGTAAGTATCGCTTTTCAGTACTCACAGGTAATTATCGATCCCTCGGGAGATTTGTATAGTCGAACAGTTCAGAATATTCCCTAGGATGAGGACGCAACATCATTTCGAGTTCAAGCAACTTTTTTATCGAATCGATCAACTAATTTGTATGCGTACAGATCCAAGACGATGGGGTGCAAAGGCATGTCTCGCTTGCAAGGACTATAGATAACTGCGAAATGAGAATATTCTGTGTGTTCTTTGGCCAGAGATTTTGCTGGGTGGCACGATAGGACTGTGGCGCACATAGTAAGCGAGTAAAAATGAGATTCTCGGTTTTGGAACTGGAACGATCAAGCAAACGAAGACAAATATCTCATCACGTGCCTTGCACAGAACTCAGACTCGGACATCGGTCCGAACTTGTTTGTGTGTTGATTGTCTAAGATCGTGACAGTGCTCTTTATGGTCTGTGCTGAGTCTGGGTGTTGTGAAATTAACGATCTACGGTGCACATAGCTATTTTCTATAATCTGAAAAACAGATTGCCTAAGCCCTAGGCTGGCCGAGAAGTTGCGAAATCAACTTCATAGTGGTCAGAGCAAGCACATTAGTTATAGTAGGCATACGAGCGAGACGGCTGGTCAATTTAAATTGGGACACCATCAACGACGGTTTCGCAGTGTCTCGTTTATGTTGTTGACTGAATCCAGGAGTTGATAGATTATGCCAAGGACTTCGTAGTTCCACTCAGGCTCAAATATCAGGGGCGGCGCAACGAAGTCAGCACCTGCTATCTGATCTTCGAACAGGCGGGGAGCATTGCCCTCCTCAGCGGGTGCATTCTGCTACTACAGCATAAATAGTGTGACTGATTGTTGTGAAGTTGACCACATACTGGGATATACCAATCGTGCCTGTCATCGTCGTCGGGCAGCTCAACTGGCCTCATTCGAGGTGCAGGTGGCATCGGTTCGATGTCTATTCTAGGCTGGATAAATGAGGCCTCGAGTGGGTTGAAGTTCATGAAGACTGCGTAGAAGGTCTTGTGATAAATTCCAAAAGGACGAGGCAGTGATGGTGGGTGAAGATGAAGGGTGAATGAACAATCAGGCCTCTTTTTATATGTGGATCACAGGAGCAGCACGGGTCCTTGGTGGCTTTGGAATGATCGAGCCACGAAAACAACACTAACATGATGCGTTCTGACGCGTTGCTCATTCGTGGCTGCGATTCATGGCAGATCTCTCGACATTTCTTTTTGGTGTATCTTAGCGTTGACCGCACGGTGAGTTCCATAGCTTTTTGTCTCTGTGACAGCCAAATGTGCATGCAGATATTGCAGAGGTGCCTGTGTACTCATGAGGTCGATGGTTTGCCTTTACATCCAAAAACCAGTCTTTGAAGCTTTCCTGTTTTTAACTGTTCTAACCCTCATTGTTTAATGCTCCCGCAAAGCAGACCACGGTTCAGTTGTGTATCATATAACCGACGAGTATTCGTTATAGTCCGATTTATATTGTGACCCACTTAGGATGTGATATTGAGCTTGAGAATCAGATAAAGCTCGTTGAAAGGCAGAATCTTTGTTTCCCGCTTAACATGGCTCCTATTCTTATGCCAAATGCACCAGCCACTCTCTACACAGGCTCTGGTTCTACTCATTATGTATATTTATTTCGTACACAAACTTGTCGTAAATTCAGCCGGTTCGGGCATTCATCTTCAATTCGGCATGTGTATTTGACACGAGTTAATTTCACGGCATTTAGAAATAAAAAAATATACTGTACCCAGCTGTATGACCGCAACCAAGAGTAGTGCGTTACAGCCAAATTTGGGCAACTAGCCCTGAAAATAGTGTTACCACAAAAAAATTAGGCAACCGGTCCATCTAGACAGCCACTGCATAAGTATTTTCAATACCACTTTTTTATTCTTGTAATGCTACTACAAGTACAACTCATCTAAATTTCGCGTTACCTGTAGCAACCCAACCAGTGCTGCGTTACCGTTACAGTTGCGGTCATACAGCTGGGTACCCGGTACAGTATACAGGTTCCAGGAACACCAGCCGCCATAATCTGAGCCACAAGTACAGGCACGTGACGAAGCCTTTGGCCATGTTTGATCAAAACTGAGGATCTCATTATGATCGCTTATTATGTGTGCCACAGTTCTGTAAATCCACTTCGATGCAGAGCCTCTGGGAAGAGCAAAAGGTGCACCTAATATTCCCGCGTCTCTGTTATCCGTTGACCTTTGGAGGCGAGGCGTGCATTTGCGCCCCATCATGTCGGATCTTTACAACAAATACACACAAATCGATCGATGAAAGAGTTGATTGAATTCGAATGGGGATAGCTTCCTCGCACTTAGGAGTATTCTGGATTGTTCGACTTCAGAGAATCGAGAGAGAGGTAGAAACAATTTCAGGTGAGCAATTAAAGGCAGCGCACACGCTTCGAGCCTTAGAACCAATCAAGATGGCTCATGTTACTTGCAAACTATTTAATCGTCATGATATTCAAGTCTACGGGTAGGACACTAATTCTCAAGATTACCTCTCTTGCATCAGGCCCACCGTTATGGTACAAAATAATGGACGTCTCGTTGTACGTTGCAAGTATCCATCCCAAAGGTGAGTGGCTTGCTTGTTATGACAGAATGAACCAAGTCTGCACAGATTTTTAGCTACAGATCAATATTCCTTATAATCATGTTTAGAATTTCGATGTCTCCGTCCCCACCATGGCCGTCCAGGAATCTCTATTGTGATGGATGATCAGTAGGCGTTCCTTATAGTTAATGGAGAGGCATACATCCATCAAAATAGCGAACACGGCTTGAATGGGGCAATTTGCGACTATCCGGGTGCGCTGATGCGTGGCCGACAGTATTGATGAGTTCAAGCGCCGCCAGATTCCTCGCCTCCTGGAAGAGATCAATGACTGTATCATCGAGGTTTATATATCCATTCTGCGCATTTTGTTGCAGGTTCTGCAAAGCCTCGTTTATGCCGTTGACCGATTCCAGGAGTTTCTGGATTCTGTCAAATTTCGGATAGTCGTACTGTTGCTCCAACGCCGGAGGTGGTGCGATAAAGCCGACATCTCCTTCCGTCTCATCTATGAAAAGGCGGAGGGCATTACCTTCCTCCATGGGTGCGTCCGGCTACTACAATGTAAATGCTGTACATGGTTAAGGTAGAGTTCATCTCATACCGGAATGTACCATCCGGGCTCGTCATCACCGGGTAATTCCGCTGACCTCATTCGAGGCGCAGGAGGCACTGGTACAATATCTATTTCAAAATGGAAAAACGGCGCCTCGGGTGGCATAACGAAGGCAACTTGTGCTTCCTCTTCTTCAAATGGGTGGAGGGCATTACCCTCTTCGAGTGGATTATCCTGCTACCACAGCGTAAATGGTGTGGGCAGTTATAGTGAAGTTCATCACATGCCGGGTTGTACCAGCCGGGGTCATCGTCACCAGCCAGTTCGACTGGCCGCGTTCGAGGCGCAGCAGGCACTAGTACATCGTCCAGTCCAGGCTGTATTAAGAAGGCCTCGAATGGATCAAAGTCCATGAAGTAGGTAAGATCCATTTTGGGAAAAATGCAAAAAATGCAAAGGAGATCGGGGCGGTGATGGTGGGTGAAGATGAAGAGCGAGTGGATAATGGCGCCTCACTTACAAGTGGATTGTGGGAATGATGCATGTATTTGGTGATCTCAAAGGGATGAAGCCACGAAACCACGATACTAACATAGCACATCCTTAACGCGCAGCTCGCTCGTGTCTGCGATTCGTAGCGGACCTCTGGTTCTCTTTCATTGCGTATTATCTGGCATTTGCAACTGATTCTTTGGCTTTCATTTATCGACCCTGCTTTGACCGGACGACGTGATTTACAGCTTAAAATAGTTCACTCGCCAGTCGAGAATCCGGACAGGTTAGCTCTGTCGACACAACATCTCGGTATTGTTCCATTTGTGATTCTGTGAGAGGACCTCACTTTCGGAAATTTCGAGCTGGATTCAAAGGGTGGCACAGGCAGTGGCACTTTTTCGGCGACTTCAGAAGTAGTTTCATTCGAAAAAGCTTCCTAAGAAGAGCCTGTACCATGTCTACGGAAACGTGTTTATGCGAGATAATCTCTGGAGAGATTTTTTTACACCTCCAGTAGTTGAAGCTCTAATTTATCGGAATTAAAATGGTCCTCAGCCCTCTATCTCAGTTCACCTTTGTCACAGCTGGTTTAACCAGACTGGTGGAGAATGGGTACGTACGCTCTAATCAATATATGTTAAGTTTCTGATGTGCTTTGTAGATGGCAAACTTGCATGTTTCGTTTCTAAGCTGTTTCCCACACAGAGCTGCTAAAATAAGTCTTGTCTACTCCAGTACAGTGCTCCTCTCTTACGAGTCATCCCCCAACTTGGTCCTTGTCTCCCAGCATATAACTATTTCTCGTGCAACTATAAACTCATGATGAGGACTAGTTAACGCTGGACGTATAAGATTTCGTCATTAATTGCCAAGATTGTTGGACATCTTATTCTTGTTTGTAGATTGCAAAATGGCAAGGTATAGCCATCAGGTGTTGCTGCTGCACTGAAAGTCCCACTTAAGGTGGACGAGAAGGCTCTTGAGCAGGTAAAATCAATTACTATTGGTACCTCGTCATTCGTTTATTTCCGCCGTCCGGACGCAACATTTGCTCCCGCGTTCTGAAGTCGTCGCACTAGTCAATACTTTGTGTCGGTTTACGGATAGCTTACAATCCGCGCACAATTTCCATAATATGCGGGTTGCCGCTCTGACTGACGAAGCTGAAGAGCTTACTCAAGAAACAATCGGGTCTGCCGCCATTGCTGTAAGGACAGATTAACTAGGTGAGAAGCACTCATGCTGACGTCCTTTCATCCCCAGATTGCACCATCTTATCTATTACTCGTTCACGAACGTGATACCGTCGGCTGGTTAGGCTAGCGAGAGACACACAGGATTCTCAAGCAACGGTCATTTCATTTCGAGTATTCCTGTGAATAGCGTACGACTGATTCCTTGAGCACATGTTGTGTGACTGACTTAGTCGTCGAGCTTATCCGTTCGTTGGTGAAGTCTTCAACTAACGAGAGGATCTTCGTTAAGCTATCTTTGAAGTTCCTCTCTCTTCCTTACTGCTCATCCTCACTGTTACTGTTCGTGTTATGCGGACCACAGCCCATTTGTATATCATACAATACACACAATAGAATTATTCTATTTAATGACTTCTGATATCGTGATTTACATTATGAGTCACTAAATAGCTAGGATTGATGTTTGCCCCTCACCATTCACAATACCTACATTCAAAGGCAGAAACTTCATTTCCATTTCACACACCACTTCACTTTGCATTCAAGACATCTAATTGCTCACCATTCAGGATTCGAGCTTCCACTCAAATTATAACAATGTTTTACACATCATTGACCCACCAAGCTCGGCCAGCCTAGGGCTTAGGCAATCTGTTTTTCAGATTATAGAAAATAGCTATGTGCACCGTAGATCGTTAACTTCACAACACCCAGACTCAGCACAGACCGTAAAAGAGCACTGTCACGATCTTCGACAATCAACTCACAAACAAGTTCGGACCGATGTCCGAGTCTGAGTTCTGTGCAAGGCACGTGATGAGATATTTGTCTTCGTTTGCTTGATCGTTCCAGTTCCAAAACCGAGAATCTCATTTTTACTCGCTTACTATGTGCGCCACAGTCCTATCGTGCCACCCAGCAAAATCTCTGGCCAAAGAGCACACAGAATATTCTCATTTCGCAGTTATCTATAGTCCTTGCAAGCGAGACATGCCTTTGCACCCCATCGTCTTGGATCTGTACGCATACAAATTAGTTGATCGATTCGATAAAAAAGTTGCTTGAACTCGAAATGATGTTGCGTCCTCATCCTAGGGAATATTCTGAACTGTTCGACTATACAAATCTCCCGAGGGATCGATAATTACCTGTGAGTACTGAAAAGCGATACTTACGCTTTGCGCCTCAGATCAGTCTAGGTGGCTCATGCTTCTTGGATACTATTTAATCCTCATGACTTGGGATTACGGTAAGGGTACTGCCCCGGCATCATTTTCCC